GACCAATCTCCCTAATAAGCATAGCTGCAAAAATCCTCAGTAAGATACTGGCAAACAGAATGCAGTAAATCATCAGGAAGATTATGCACCATGACCATGTAGGATTTATTCCAGAGATGCAGGGATGGTTCAACATACACAAATCAATAAATGCAATACACCAAATCAAAAAAGCCAGGACAAAATTCACACAATCATCTCAATCAATGAAGAAAAAGTATTTGACAAAATCCAACACCCATGCATGATAAAAACTCTACAGAAAATAAATTGGAATAGATTCTCTTTACCTCAAACTAATAAAAGCCATTTATGACAAACAGCCAACATCATACTAAATGACCAAAACCTGACAGCTTTCACTCTAAAAACAGGAACAAGGCAACGCAGCCTACTATCATCACTCTTATTCCACATACTTCTGGAAACATTAACCAGAGCAATTAGAGAAGAGAAAGAAATAAAAAGAATAAAGATAGTAAGGAAGAATTTAAATTATCATTATTTGCGGATGACAGGATACTCTACATAAAAGACTCCAAAAGCTCCACCAAAAGACTTCAAGATTTAATAAACTAATTCAGTTGCATAGCTGGATACAAAGCCAAGTGCTTTCTTGGCAGCACATATACTAAGAGTGGATACAAAGTCAACACTAAAAAAATCAATAGCACTCTTGTACACAATAATAAACTCACAGAGAGAAATTAGGGATACCACACCTTTCAAGTACCATAAGAAATGAGAAATATTAAGAATCAATCTAATGGAGATGAAAGGCCTCTACATTGAGAACTACACTACTTTTAAAAAGAAGATATGAGAAAAGGGAACTATGTCCCTTACTTTTAGGCTAGGAATAACCAACAGTAAAAGTGACCATACTCCCAAAGATTTAATGCAATCCTGATCAAAATACCAAGAGCATACCTCATGGAATTAGAGAAAATATTCCTAAAATTCATCTGAAACCAGAAGAGACCTAGAATATCAAAAGCAATTCTAGGTTACAAGGCAAAGCAGGGAGCATCATAATTCTGGAGTTTATGCTACAAAGCTACTGTGATAAAAACAGCATGTTATTGGAAACAAAACCCTGTGGATCAGTGGAATAGATTAGAAAATGCAGAAACAACCCCTAATATACTTAGCCACTTTATCTTTGACAAAAAGGCCAAATACATTCACCACAATTTATGAAACTAGAAATCCATAACAGGAGGAATTTTTAAAAAATTAGAAAACACAGAAATTGAACAACATGCTACTGAACAGTAAGTCAGTGAAGAAGTGAAGAGGGAGGCTAACAAATATCTTGAGGTAAGTTCAAATTCAGCCGGTTACTAGCTGTGAAATTAGCAAATTGATGTAATCTTTTTGAGTTCACTGTCATCTTCTGTCAAGTTAGCATAATACCAGCACCATCTCTGTGTTGCTTTGAGGCAGCAATGAATTTATGCACATGTTTTAACTTTTTTTTTTTTTTTGAGACAGGGTCTCACTATGTAGTTGAGACTGACCTGGAACTCACTATATAGCCCAGGCTGGTCTTGAACTCACAGTGATCCTCCTGCCTCAGCCTCCCGAGAGCTGGGATTACAGGCATGCGCCACCACGCCCGGCTACATACATGTTTTAACCTGACACATGATACATGGCAAGCTCTCCCTCAGGTAACATCCCTCATTATCAAGAACAGGAAGTTCCTTACATTTTTCCTGTAGCATAATTTACTATAAGGATGGTCATAAATGACACTTTAGATTTATTTAGAGGCCTTTGTTCTGGCAGAGTCTTTCTCATGCTTTATAAATATTATTGCATTTTGTATTATAAAAGTTTGGTTGAATAACTTAGTAACAATACCTCTTTGATAAAGATAGAATGCAGAATGATAAATTAACATCCCTAGTTATGCTCTTGATCTAATTGGCTTTTAGAAAAATCTTATATCCAACTTGTACTTTACTCTTATAAAATTGAAAAAATACTAGTAATACATTAGTATTCCTGGATCAAGTGCATGTTTTATTTGTTTTACTCCCCAGCAACAACTCATTTATTAAATGCAAATACTTGTTGAATCAAACTAAGCAGCCAAGCAGCAAAGACAGTTGTGGTGAATGAGATGGGCCAACCTGAAACACTTTCTTATTGAGAAGCTTTAATTGCCTTGTTTTATCCTAGTATAATATTGTCATTTATTAAAACAGTTAAATATTTCCACATTAAGCAAATAATAGTTTTGTATTATGTTAATTTTGGCCTTCAAATATAGTATCTTATCAAATTCATTAAAAGTGTCCTAAGAATTGATACCTGGGTTGCCATGGGAACACATTTCAATTCAAAAAAACATGCAGGAGTTTGCAGTTAGATATCACAGCATACTGCTATTGTTTGGGGATAATGCAGTTTCATTTTATAGAATTATATCATGTATTTTAAGGCTGGAAAAAAGTTTGACAGGACCTCTATTCATCATAAACAGGAATGCACTACAATAGGATGTGCATCCAAAATTGAATAATGATATAGAAAATGCTGATGGTCTCTGTTGGAGGAAAGAGATGGAAATATGAGATGTTTCACATTAAGCATATTAGTTATTATACATTTGTTTAACTATCCTTGGCTTTATTAACAAAATTCTGTGTAGTATATATGCCTTATTTTTTCCTCATGATCAAATGCCTGCATTCTGAGGAATTTTAGCTTGCTTTGGTGAGAGAGAGAAATCATCCCATTTCAAAAAAATCAGACACTGATGGTTTTTGACCAAAGGATACATATTATCTAAAATTTAACAATCTAGTTTGAAAAACATAAAGGAAGAATTCTGTTGCTAATGAGATGATTATATAGGTAGAAAGAGAGAAGAATACAAGCTACTTAGCAGCAGCCCTGAAAGCTTTCTTAACTTCAATTAAGTATTAGAGAAATATGCATTTAGAAACAAAAATTAGAATAACAGATAAAGATAGTGTTAGGAGGTATCCATTAAGAAATAAAATATCTCTGTGTGGTATCCCTCTTTCACTCTTATGGTAAGGGTCCCCTATTACACTTATAGCTCTGAAACTTACTGTGCTGAAATATAGCAAAGGTAAATTTCTTAGTGAAAGATGTTTAGCTGACAGCTATGTGCTTCTAGAACAACACATTATGAGAACCTTTGACATTATTTATTGAGCTACATTTATTGGAGTACTATTCTGTGAGATTCCGTAGGAAAAGGATTTTATAATTAGAAACTCTGGAAAATGCAGACTATTTTATCCCTTTTGTAATTCATAATGTATCATTTTTATATTAAATCCTGAAAATCCTTAGGGTAAAAAAAATGCTGTTAATACATATGCTCTCTATATAAATATATATTGTATTTATGTATTTGTGTATCATTGGCATGAATCCATTTTTTTCACTGCTATTTTGTAGGATTAGCTGATACTGAATCTGATCTAGAAACCCTGACGTAAGGAATTCAGGACCTGCACATTACATAGGAAACATATTTTCAGAGGAGAAGGCATGGTTGTGGTAGCAGCATTCACATGTCTATATTTTCATGGAAGCTATATCTTACTTTATTTACTTTTTTTTAACTTTCTATTGGGGATAATGAGAAAAATGCCCCCAAGAAGCTATTTACTCCATTGTAAATAATTCCAGTTGAACCTGATAAAGATTCATTGACAAGGCATATTAGCTTACATTCTCTTAATAACAAATAACAAGAAACAAATCAAGGTTTGAAACATGAAATCCAAGGGAAAAATGCAACCAGGTTTAAAATGACCGGGAAAGTGACTATATTAATTCTAGTAACACGATTGCTGAACTAGTGTAAACAAAAGGTATCATGCTCCCAAAATCCAACTCTAGCTAGACTCAAAATTAACTCTGTTCCTAGTGGAATGGACATTTATTTAAATAAATATGAAATAAATAATACTTAAATATTATATGTATATTTACATATAACTGCTTTTTGGCAAAACAATACTAATGAAATAAAACATAAAAAATAAGGACCCAGGATTTAGCTCAGTGGTTCTGCCACTGCCTTGCAAGCACAAGGTCCTGAGTTCTATCCCTGGTACCAAAAAACAATACTATGGGATGCTTCCCTCTTCTTTGAGCCTCGGAAGAGCAGGTTCTGAGTTACATCACCCGTAAAGAAAAAAGAAATCCGTATGTGAATGTTTGGTAATTGTAGCATGTACACCCAGGACTGCTGACCACAGCAATTCTCTCTGGTGACTATGGTGTAACTGGCCTAAGGCTCATTTCCTGTACTCACTGTGGCTTAGGTTTAGATTGTTGAAGACATCTTCTGCCACGACGCCTTCCAGGGCTCCCTTGCTACTAAGAATCAACAAGGGTGATCATTTACATTTCTTAGTAAATTAAAGTTGAAGATCCCTTTGTTTTTGTTTATTCACTTATTTTTGCAGTGTTGAGCTTCCATCCTAGGATCTCACATGCTAGGCAAGCACTCTAGCACTGAGCTACACGGCAGCCTAAGTAAGATCCCTTTAATTCCTACCCAATGGGCATTTCCTCCACTTGACCTCAGAGGCAGTGTTTTCATACTTTTACCATGAACAGATTTTCAGGCCCACAACACCCATTCATCCATCCCACCCCAATTGCCGCAGTTTATGAGGGAAGACTATAATTTTGTTTTCCAGAGGACCCTAAAATACCTTTACCCTCCACTGCGAAGACCTAAGCTAATTGTGGATGAGACACTGTTGGGTGGGAAGACTCCCTGAATACGTTTTATACCCATTGTAGGGATCCGCCCTCATCCTCAAATGTGAGGGTTCTGAACACAGGAATTGACTAGACATCTTAATTGCGCTAAGAACCAAGTAACTTTATTGGAAACAATAAACCAACAGATATGAAAGAGCTGAAAAGAACGTGGTGAGAGTGGAGTGTGCAGCCCTTGCCTGGTGACCCAGAAAGGACCTCACAGCTCTGAGGACAGTCTATACCCAGTCTTTATCGTCACCTCTCTCCAGAGTGAGCTTGTCAAAGAGGGCCTGGGCCTGGTCTTCCCCCAGGGTCCCTATCTTGCGCAGGTTGGTCAAATACCCGGCGATCTCCCTGAGGACCCGGACCTGGGAGCGCAGATAGTAGCATTGCAGGAAGTCGCATAGATTGGAATCTTTCTTCTTAGTCGCAAACTCATAAAGGTCCAGGAGACTCTTGGTTACAGTCCTCTCCACACGGAAGGCGTGCTCCATGGCCTGGGCGCCATCGCTCCAGTCGTCCCTGTGAGGCTTCAAGATGGTGTCAAAGATGGTGCACCCACCTCGCTTGTTCAGCATCCACATGAGCTTTTTAGCGCACTTCATCCAATGGTGAGACCGGCGCAGGAAGAAGCTCGTGAAGTGCTTCAGGCCCACTTCAGGGCGGTCGAAGTAGGCGGCCAATGAGAGATAGACGTAGTAGGCGTAGAGCTGCAGGCGGATGCGGACACTGACGGCCTCGTCAGTGTCAGAGCTGTAGTTCTGGCGAAGCACCAGTGGTTCCGGGGCTGCGGCAGCCATGGCAGGGGCGGCGGCGGCGGTGGCGGCGGGAAGCTGGGAGCCTAGCGCGGAGGCAGTGAAGATGGCCCAAGGGCAGTGCGGGCAGAGGCTGCGTACACAGCACAAGCTCTAGGTGCTCCACGGGTGGCGGAGGCAGCTCTAAACCGAAGACAAGCTCACTCCCAGCTCTGAGGTAGGCCTGAGGTTGATTTGAGGTGGCGCAGGAAGTGGGCGGGCAGGAAGTGATTAGTGCTGATAGTTGACTGGATCCCTGCGGGGAGGGTCAGAGGTCAATGGCCAGGCGCGTGAGCCCGTGAGCACAGCGTACTTAGAACCACCTGGCCGACTCTTCCCTGACCTTCTTCCTTATACGGTGTTTTGTAAAGTTGTTCATTAATATTAATGCAAACCTTTGAATTAGTCATATGGATTGTTTCTTTATTAACTTATTTGAAAATTGTCCAAATGTGATCGTTTCATCACATGTAGTACCTTTTATGATGGGTTTAGTTACATTTAATATAAAGCTTTATTTGAACGGCAGCTCTCCTCAGTGACTAATATTTATATGACCTTCTTGGGGAGGGGCTAGGCATCAGAAATTAGGAGCAACCAGTAATTTCTATCGATTACTATTATGATTGCACTGTCTGATCTGTATAATATTTTTAAAAAGTTGCTTAAAATGCAAACTTTTTAGTTAATCACCTAGATGTTTCTTTTTTCTTTCTTTCTTTCTTTTTTTTTTTTTTTTTTTTTGGTATTTTGAGACCCGGTCTCATTATGTAGTTCAGGCTGGCCTCGAACTCAGGGCAATCCTCTTGCCTCAGCCTCCCGAGTGCTGACTTTTCTGGGATTTCAGGCATGTGCCAACCTAGATTTTTCCGTAAGCAACTTATTTGAAGCTGCTCCTGTGTGATTGTTTTATTGAATGTATTGCTTTTTGTGATTTGTTTATATTTAATATTATAAAGCTTTATTTGAATGGAAGCTGCCCTCATTAACATCAAGTTCTACACTAATGATGCTTCCCATGATTTCCTTAGTTCATAGACCTTGTGAACTTCAGTGACCTTTACTTTACTCCGTCCATTCGTGATGTAGTTCACCCTTGTCTGAGAGCCAAAACTACCTCAAAAATCTTAGGGACTCTTCTCATCTTTCCATATTTCTCTCCCATTCACTCTTTATTCTCTCAAGTCTCTGAACCTGAAAGCGCAATCCTAGGAGTTCTTGCTTGTTGTGTTGTCTGCTTCTCAAAGTGGAAAATCTCAAAGATGTCCTTGTAATATCCTGGATTTTCTCACTGGTCTTTATGCAGATTGTGATTCCCTCTTGTTATGTAAATACAACCTTTTGTTTTCTCAAAAGTTTTAGGTGCCTTCTTAGAGAAAGCATTGTTAACCATATGGATATCTTCTTCCCCTCCAACATCATTTGTACTTTCACTGCCACTTAAAAAGCACTTATTAAAAAATCCTCAGTTATGTTCTGTGGCATGAATTAAGTAAGCTGCATAAAATTTTAAATTTTCTCCAATTCTCAGCAAATCATTCTTTCACCATCAGTGTTGAACTCACTCAGTTTTCCTACAACTGTTTTCAAATACTTCATTAGTTAATTCATTAATTCAAGAAATATTTATTACCTAATATGGTTCAGGTTTAGATATATAATTTGGGGCATATTAATAATAAAGAAGTAACTGTTCCCTTTTAGTGTATGCTGTAGTAGAGAAGCAGACCAAAACAAAAACAAACAAAAATTGTCACTGTATTAAATTCAAAAACTTTGTTTTTATAGAACATTTTTCATTATATCCTCACAGTATTTATTTTATTTTAATTGTATTTTTATTCGTGTATTTTTGCAATACAGGAAAGTGGTACTTGTTTTGGGGATTTGGTGTATGCATATAACTTGTCTGGGTCATTTTAAATTCCTTTACTCTTCTCTCTTACCACTCACCATAACCCCCTTCCCTGTCTCCAAGTATCTGTCTTCTTGTTTTCTACAATCTGTCCTTTATTCTTTTATATTTTGGGTTTCTCATATAGGAGAAATCATGCAATATTTAATGTTCTGTGTCTGACTTACTGCTTATTTTGCTTAGTGGTATAGTCTCAAGTTCCATTTATTTTCTTGAAAATGAGGTAATTTCACTATTCTTTATGGCTTCATAATATTCTATTGTCTTAGGTAATTTTAAAGATGTTTCCAACCTTTATTTTTGAAATTTATGTTAAGTGACACAGAAACACATTAAACTTGTACATGTTAATGGGGTACTATATATTGTATTGATACAAACGCATATTGTTCAGTCAGATTGAATACATATCTATCTCCTCAAACTGAGGATTTAGATTAGTGGCTCCACTTCCTGCCTTGTAAGTACAAGGACCTGAAATCCCCTGTACCAAAAAAAAAAAAAAACCACAAAACATCACTTGTTTCTAGCAAACACAATCAAGATACTTTCTTATAGCTTTTTGAGATATGTCTATAGTCACTTTTCTGTGAAATGACATGCTATAACTTCTTGTTCTTAGTACCCACTGCTCAATCTTTACCCATCATTCTCTCCAGCCGACTCTTGCAAACCTCTGGTAACTACCATTCTACTCTCAATTTCTATGAGATCAACTTTTTGGATTCTATGTAAAAGTGAGATCATGTGGTTACTTGTTTTTCTGTGCCTTGCTAATTTCACTTAGCGATATGATCCCTAGTTCCATGCATGTTGTTATGAAAGACATTTCCTTTTTGGTGAGCTGAATTGTGTTTATGGACCATTGTGTATATGGCACAGTTTCGTCATTCAGCAGTTGATGGGCACTTACATTGTTTCCATTTTTTGACTTTTCTGAATATCATTACAGAATGAACACGGGCATGCATATGTCTCTTCAACCTACTGATTTAATTTCCTTTGGATATGTACCTAGTATTAGGATTCGTATGTAATATGATACCCCTTTTAATTTTTTGAGGGATCTCTATACTGTTTTCCACATTGACTCTACTAATTTATATTTACATCAACAGCATACAAGGGTTTCTTTTTCTCTACATCCTCTCCAGCACTTGTTATCCTTAGACTTTTGGATAACATCTATTTCAATGAGCGTAAGGTTATATTTCATTGTGGTTTTGGTATGCATTCCCCTCATGATTAGAGCTTTTTATGTATCTGTTGGGCATTTATATGTCTTTTCAAAATAAGGGTCTTTTTAAATCCATTGCTCATTTTAAAAACAGGGTGATTTGATTTTTTGCTTCTCAGTTTCTTGTATGTTCTGGATTTTAACCCTTTGTCAGGAGGATAGTTTGCATATGTTTCTCCAATTCTGTGCATTGACCTCCGTTGAATGTTTTTATTTCTACGCAGATGATGTTTAGGATGATGCAGTCCCATTTGTCTATTTAAACTTTTGTTTTCTGTGTTTCTGAGATTTTGTTGAAGTAATAATTCATTTCCACTCCAATATCCTGAAATATTTGCCCTATGTTTACTTCTAGTAGTTTAAATGTTTACTTTTACATGTAAGCCTTTAATCAGTTTTAAGTTAACTTTTATAATAATGTTTTTGAGTTGACTTTTGTAAACATGGTGTAGTACTGTATTCTGGATATAGATATCTAGTTTTTCCAGAGACATTTGCTGAATAGAATATTCTTCCTCCAATGAATGTTCTTAGCAACTTTTTTGAAAATCAGTTGACTGTATATGTATGGGTTTAGTTTTAGACTCTATATTTCAGTTTCATTGGTCTATATGTCTGCTTTTATGTCAATATCATGTTTTGGTTCTTACAGCCTGGTAGTATGTCATATAATCAAGTAGTGTAATGCTTCCATCTTTTTGCACCCTGAAGATAGCTTTGGCTAGTCAGAGATTTTTGTGGTAACATAAATTTTGGGGTTTTCTTTCTACTTTTAAGACTGTCGTTTGATGTTTTGACAGAGATCGCATTAAATCTATAGAAAACTTTGAGTAGCATGGACATTTTAATTTCGTTGACTCTTCCAATTCATGGACATTAGATATTCTTCCAGATTTGGGGGGGGAATTGTACAGCCTATTTCATCAATGTTTTATAATTTTGACTCTAGAGATCTTTCTTTACTTTGATTATCTTTATTTGTGGGTATTTTATTTTCAGCTTTAGTAAATTATATTGTTTCCTTGATTTTTTTTTTCAAATAATTCACTATTAGAATGCAGGAACACTACTGATTTTTGTATATTGATTTCATATCCTGCAACTATGCAGAATTTATTTATTAGTTCTAATAGGGGTTTTTGATGGCGATTTAGACTTTCGTGTCTTCTGCAAAGCCTGAAAATTTGAATTCTTGTAAAATTTAAATTCCTCTTCTCTCTCTTATCTGAATTCTCTGGCTATGACTTTCAGCACTATGCTGAGTAAAAGTGGTAAATGTAAGGGCTTGAGATTTAGTGCAGTGGTTCTGCTGCCTGCCATGAAAGTGCCTGTCATGAAAGTTCGATCCCCAGTACCCCCGCAAAAGTGGTAAATGTGTTGGGCATCTTTGTCTTGTGTCAGATCTTAGAGAAAACACTTGAAGCTTTGCCCATTCCGTATGATGTTCTCTGTTTGCTTGTTATATATATGACTTTTATTATGTTCCTATGTTTATACTTAATATGTTTAGTATTTTTATGAAGGGACATTGAACTTTATCAAAGGTTAATTGGTCTCCATAATCTTACTCTTCAGATATTTTAAAAAATAATACTAGTATATGGTTATATGTATAGAAAAATGTAATAGATATTTCACCCCTTATCATTAACTTCTAAGGAAATAATATGGATATATATATTACTAAAAGAAACCTAACACTTAAAATCTGCTTTTCTAAGGGAAATTAGTAAACAAGTATGACCTGTAAGTCCCATTTCTCATGAAGGATGTATACATATCTACACATAAAAGAATCTCATCCTGTTTTACTTTAATGAACAAGAATGAAACTAAATACAGATAGGAAAAAAC